AATTCATACAGTTTATCGTGCTATTGGCGACAGTCCATCACTATATGCATACCAACACCCCTACTTGATGGGCAGGATCGCCCATTTGCAGAGATTCTCGAAGTTTCTCGAACACAGGCTTGCCTAGTGGTTTGGTGAGTAGATCCGCAATCATGTCGGAGCTTCTGCAGTAGTCTAGGCTCAGGATCCCGTTTTGTTGAAGTTCACGCAAGTAGTGGTATTTCACGTCTATGTGTTTTGTTCTGGAGCTATTTTTCTCCGTTTGTGATAGTTTGATGCATGATTTGTTATCTTCATAGAGAGTAATCGGCAGATTTTGTTTTAGTCCTAGATCTTTAAGCAAATTTAACAGCCATTGTGCTTCTTGTGCTGTATTAGTTGCTGCAATATATTCTGCTTCAGTTGAAGATAGTGCAATGCAGTTTTGCCTTTTGCTGCTCCATGAAATGCAGTTATTTCCTAGTTTGAATATGTATCCGCTAATGGATTTTCTTGTTGTTCTGTCATTTGCCCAATCTGCATCCGAATATGCGGTTAATATAGGTTCTTGAATTCTGTTAAAGACCAACTTAAAGTCTTTAGTTGTGCGCAAGTATCGGATGACTTTCTTGACAGCATTCCAATCTATGTTCCGAGGTTTTTCGTTTCTTCTACTCAGTAGGTTGACTGCACATGCTATATCTGGTCTGCTGATTGTTGCAATATATAATAATGCCCCTACTGCTTGTCTATATTCTGTATTATTCTCTAGAAGATCATCTTCAGCTTCTAGTTTGCAGTAATTTGTTTCAATTGGCGTATATGTTGGTTTTTCGTTCTGAAGTCGAAACTTTGAACTATTTCTTCTATTTTATTCTTTTGGTTTATGGCAAAAGTTCCATCTTCAAATCTTTCAATGTTTATGCCGAGGTAGTAGGTGACTTCTCCTAGGTTTTCGATTTCGAATTTAGCGTTCAATTGTTGGATTGTTTCCATTACATCTTCTTCTCTTTCACTTCCTACAAGCATATCATCTACATATAATATTATATACATGAATTTTCCATTGATGGTTTTGTAAAACAAGCATGGGTCCACTTTACTTTGTTTAAATGACATGTTTAGAAGTATTTTTCCAATTTTCAGATTCCAAGCTCTAACTGCTTGTTTTAAACCATATATAGATTTCTTCAGCTTGCAAACTTTATTTTCATTTCCAGCTTTTGAGTATCCTTCGGGTTGAGTCATGTAAATTTCTTCTAGTTCTCCATGAAGGAAAGCTGTTTTGACATCGATAAGTCTGACAGACACGTTCTTATATGAAGCTGCACATAGGAAGGCTCGTAGCGTTGTGTATTTTACTACAGGAGCAAAGGTTTCATCATAGTCAGATCCAAACTCTGGCTAAATCCTTTGCGACTAATCTGGCTTTGTATCTTTCCAATTTTTCCTTCTGCATTGAGCTTTGTCTTGAAAGACCATTTGCATCCTATTTGGTTTTCTTCCCTTTGGGTAAATCACTACTATTCCAGGTGTTGTTTTCTTCTAGTGAATTAATTTCTTCTCGAACAGCTGTTAGCCATTTTCTTTTGTCATTTCCTTCCAAACTTTGAATTTCCTTCCAGGTTTTGGGTTCGGAGGCGATTGGGTATTTGGCATGGAATCCGTAGCGATCAGGAGGTTTACCTTTTGTGAGTCTGTTCGATGTTCTGAGTTCCAAAGGTTCTTCTTCGTGTTCTGATATTTATTCCTCTTCGGGTTCTTCTCTTTTTATTTCTTCCCGTTCTGAGCTTTCTTCCTTAGGATTTTCTTCATCCTGGTTTAAATAGATGCTTACAGGCTCCTCAGTTCCAGTGTTTTCCATAAATCGTACAGATCGACTTATTATAATTTTGTCTCCAGGAATTAAAATTCTGTAGCCTTTACTTCTGCTGTAGTAGCCGACGAGTATTCCTTCTATAGCAGTATCATCCAGTTTAGCTCTTTTAGATTTATGGATGTAAGCAAAAGCCTTGCACCCGAAAGTCCTCAGATGAGAGAGGTTGGGTTTCTTGTTAATCCATAATTCGTATGGAGTTTTTGCATTTGGTTTTGTAGGCATACGATTCTGTAAATAATTTGCAGTCAGCACTGCTTCGGCCCAGTATCTGTGAGGTTGACCTGTGTCAGCTAAAAGACATCTTGTCATCTCCATCAAAAACCTATTTTTGCGTTCACTGACTCCATTTTGTGCTGGACAATACGGTACAGTAAGCTGGTGATTTATACCATGTTTTGTAAGATATTCTTCAAGTTCCTTACTTGTGTACTCACCACCGTTATCACTTCTTAGCGTTTTTACCTTTCTCCCGAATTTATTGTTTGTAAAAGCAATAAATTGTTTTAGTTTAGAAATTACTTCATTTTTCTTTTTCATTAGGTAAATCATTGTGAACCTGCTGTAATCATCAATAAAAGTTACGAAGTATAGGTATCCACTGACAGACGGTGTTTGTACGGGTCCTAAAATATCAGTGTGAACGAGTTCTAGCGGTTTAGATCGTGACCTTCTCGAAGGCCACGTTTAGATGCTCTGAATTTTGATTCCCTGGGATACGGAAAATCAGTTAGTTTACATTTTATGCACTGAATGCATTTGGTATCATGTTTACAATTATCTAGTTTAATTCCTTCAGCGAGTTCTTTGTTTACAAGTTGTTTGATTGCGTCATCGTTTCTGTGACCAAGGCGTCTATGCCAAAGTTGAACACAGTTCTCATTTTTGCACTGAAATGCTACATGAGCTGATGGTTCATTATTCCTGTCTATTGGTTTAATTTGGTAAAGATTATTAGTTGCATGACATTCTAGAATAATCTGATCTCCTTTCCCGATCACACATTTATTTCCTTCAAACAGAACCGAAAGTCCTTTTTCCGTTATTTTCTTAATTGAGATTAAATTCGTTTCTAATTCAGGAGGTGCTCCACTGTCGAAAATAAAACTCTCGGATGATTGATGTACGATGTAGTTGATAAACAGAGCGACGCTGTCACATCTGGATTCGATTTCGGGTGTTTTAATTTTTGTTTGTTGTTGATTCATCGCGAGGTTACCGACATTCTTTGCTTGGCGTGTTTTAGAATCCGCGTATGTTTTCTTTTGAGTTTTGGCGTGGTTCATTTCTTTGTTTCGATTTTAGATGATAACACTCTGATCTAAAATGGTTATTTTTACGACAATATGAGCAAAACTTTTCTCTCTTTGTCTTATTTTGAAATGAGGCTTTAAATGCCTTTGGATCTGATGAATTATTCTCAACTCTCTTGTTAAATTCGTCAATTAATTTCCCTTTTAAGAATTCTGGATTCAGTTCCGATTCTGCTCTGGCTTCAAGAGCCGTAATAAGCGTATCGTAAGAACTAGGCATTGAAACAAAGCAAAAGTGCCGAAACGTGTTCGTCCTTTTATGTTCTCACCTATTGATTTGAGTTTATCGAACTAACTCCAGTAATGTATTTATATGTGTTTGCATATTTCCGTCTTCTTCAAGCTTCAAACTTGTAAAGCTTTCGCAAAAGAAATAGTTTCCTTCTTGAAAGATTAGACCTTTCATGTACCTGCCTGAGCTTTTTCCCAGGTGGCTTTAGCAGTAGTTTCATGTTTAATGTGAATTATTTGGCTATCTTCGATAAATAAATTTATCATCGCGCGACATTGCCGATCCCGCTTACTCCATTGTTCTGTAATGGGGCTTGGAGGTACATCTTCGATTACATCGTAAAGATCCTTCTTTATTAGCAGCATTTGCATTTTGAATTTCCATGTTGAGTAATTACTGAAATTCAGTTTTGCAATTTGCATTTGACTTGAATTCAACATTTTTGTATCGTCGAAAAATTAATTTTCGGTTTTAATATGAAACTACAGTTTAGCTTTTGCAGTTTTTTTTTTTATTATTATTTAATTAGCTATGATCTTTTCGTTCAGGACTCATAATCTTTTGTTGTAAAACATTTTTATAGCCTCGAAATTTCACAACAAATTAATAAAAAATAGAGAGCAAAATGATTCTTCTTACCTTGTATCCAGCGCAGCATCAAGCGAGATCATACCTAATTAAACTGTAATCCAAAATAGGTGTAGACGGAAATTGTAAGATCACAAAACACATTCTTTATTAATACATGAAAAATAGATAAAAATTCGTTAGTATTCCAAATCCATATTGAAAAAGGAGTTATATTACAGAGAGTGTCATATCACTGTCCTTTCCTGAAGGAGTGAGAAAAGTAAGTGTAAAGAATAATAGAGTTACACAATTAACTCTTTTGCAGGGTTTCCAGTTCATACAGTTTATCGTGCTATTGGCGACAGTCCATCACTGTATGCATACCAACAATACATACATAAATACGTACGTACGGTACAGACGCCACGGAAAAATCTCTTCTGAATCTTTTTAAGTAAGATTTATAATTCATTTGGGGAAAAAGAGTCTGTTCTTACGTACAGATGTGACGCAAAAGCATCGTTAAATTGCATTCGATAACGATCAAAATGGGTACTTTCGTTGAAATATAGTTCCTGGAATTTTTCGTGATTAAACTTCCTTTATTGACACGATCAAATTATCGTTGAGTCGGAGATTACGTTAAAAACTGTTTAAAAAATTCGAGTTAAACGTGGGCCTTTTTAAAAGGATTCAAGCTTCAAAAAAATTGAGAAGGGCTTTAGATGGAAATCGTTGTCGCGCCACTATCGAACTCCATGAGAGGTAAGTTTCTCTGTTACGGAATGGCAACGAGAGAGAGATTGTTGTTCAAAAGATGGATGATCGAACTGCGTTGTAACGATCATTTTTGAGGATGTTGCGTACTGTAAAATGTACCTATTACACTGTGCTAAATAGTATTAAAATGCTATATATTAAAAGATCTTTCATCTGATCTAAATTTTAACAAACCGCTCATTATTTTCTCTTAAACTCACAATGTTCACGACATTTCTGGCGCCCCCGGGTGGGCGTGTTTGTTGGAAACATGTCGGATGAAAGAATAGATAGGGTAAGTTGATTACCTTATACTTCCGTTTTGAAGTTATTGATTATTGTTTTACTGAAGTTTAAAATACTTTTCTTGCCTAATTTTTATCTGAATATTTTAAACTTTTATGACAAAATGGAAGTGATGAAAAGAAACAAAACTGCGCAACGTTCAGCTTTTACTAAAGCATATAAAAGACTAGATGAACTTTTAAATGATGATAATGTTGATTATGAAGAAGCAGAAATGTGTTTTTTATTTGTTCAAGAAAAAGGCAGAAACATTAGAATTGACGCACAGTGCTTATTTAGATACTATAACTGATGATAAAGAATTCGAAACAGAATTTGAAATAACAGAGGACTATCGAGAGAAGGCTGTTAGGATACAGTTAAAATCGGAACGATTTCTCGATAATATTAAGAGTAAATTAAACGAAATCCAAAATACATCGTCAGAGAGTAGTCAGAAATTAGTTACTGATGAAAATACATGTAAAACTTTGTGCCAACGCCTACCGAAAGTAGAACTTTATAAGTTCGCAGGTGATTTAAAAAAATTGGCTTACGTTTTGGAATCAGTTTAAAAAAAACATACATGAAAATAATAACTTAACGAATGCAGACAAATTCCATTATTTGATACAGTCAACAAAAATTAAATCAGAAGCTAGAGATATTGTAGAATCTTTTCCGGTAACGAACGAAAATTATCCTTTGGCTATAGAAAGCCTTACTGAGAGATATGGCCGTAAAGAACTTTTAATTGATTTTTATGTTCGAGAGTTAATAAAACTTGTTTCGAATAACGCAGCGAAAAAGAAGCAGGATTCTTTGAGTAGTTTGTATAACAAACTTTCAACACAACTTAGAGCCCTGAGCAGTCTTGGTGTAACGACTGATCAGTGTGGAACAATTATATCCTCTTGTGGAAAGTGCTATTCCTATTCACGTATTGCGATCGTTTGAAAGACAACGAAAGTCCGCCCATATGTCGCTGCTATTGGTCCTGGATTTCCTCTGATGAACGACAATGCGCGAATGCACCAAGCTCGGGTTGCTGAAGAATATACTGAGGGTCACGGTATGGAGCGGATGGAATGGCCAGCTCAATCCCCAGATCTGAATCCGACGATACAACGTCTTTCTACTGGGCCGATTGACAACATTTAATTTGCATTTCTCATATCTCGAAAGCGCAACACAGGAATTCTATGTTCTAACATAGGAATTTTGACACAAAATTGTACTTTCTTTGAATGACATACCGGTTTATTTTTCCATATTTCGATTCTACTACTCAGATTATGCAAAAATAATGAATTTTATAAAATTTAGTAGGAAACGTTGGAGAAATTAAAAAAATATATCTTGGCGTACGTTTTTCAGTTTGCGTCAGGAATAATTCTCTTGGCGAAGTTTTTTATTTATTGTAGTAATCTATTTTCCTTTTCCTTCTTTACGCACGAATGAAATAAAAGGTACAGTGTTCACTCTTTCAAATAATTTTAACACAGAGCGTAAAGCACATTTGGCGTTATTAGGGCTTATATAAAATACGCCAAATTTCAAAACTCGCCAATATATAAATTCACGTATATCTTTATAAATTTTGAATAGAAAAGCATTTTTCCCTAGAAATACATATACCTTTTAAGGTGACGGAAAAATTTTATAGGTTATAATTCGGAAATATTTTTCGAATATTTTATAAAAATTACTAAACAACACTAATTTAAAAATAAATCAGAAAATATGTGCGAATTATATTCGGATTTAACCTAAAGTTTTAACTGCTAAAGAAGAGATCAAGTAAGTTTAATAAAAAAAAGGAGTATTAATAAATATATACTAAATTAAATTAACATGGAGGAGCTAAATATTTGACAGCTGATTTTTTAAAAGCTGCTCTGGCGACTTTTACAAAACTTGGCACTTTGGCATAATTTGAGTCGTAGAATTGAAATATAGAAAAAAATAATAAGTATGTTATTTCAGGAAAAAATCCTTTCTTCTGTCAGAGCAATGCTGTATGTAAATCTAATATATATCCTACGTTGTGCTTTCGAGTATAAATTTCGTCAATTGCCCCTGTAGAACGAGAGTTAAAGAACTATTCCATTTTTGATGCAATATGTACTTTAAAGGAGAGCGTGTTAGCTTCAAGTTGATAACATAAAAATGAAATACAAGCTTTCTTTTATTAGAATTTTTATTCCGGAATTCTTCATAAAACTGCAGTTTACCAAGTTATCTTACGATTTTATACATTATTACGATTTAACATTATATAAATCTTTTACGCAGAAATCGTCTGCCTTGGAAGATTTTTTTGTCACAAGACTTCTTTTCTCTTGAGATATATGATAAACAGTGTGAGTTTTAATTAAACCTTTTTCAACTTCCACACTCGCTGTTGTGAGGAAGAGTAATTTAATAAAGAAGAAAAATATAATATGCAAATTCTGTATTTAATAAAAGCGAAAAAGGTTTAAACTTTTGATAAAAGCAAAGTGGAAGATAGTAGCATGGGCACAGAAATTGTGATTTTTTTCATTTGCTCAGAGTATCAGGAGTCCAAAGTAGACAGTCAAACTGTAAATTCTTAAATTTTGGCAGACATCCAAAAGTATATTTGAGAGCTTGTCTGGTTTTATTCCTTAAGAGTCGTGAACAGCCTATTATAAATCTACCACAGTGTGCAAGAATTGATATAAATGTATTCGTGTTTAAATAAAGGCTAGTGTTTATTTAATTTAAGTGTTATAACTTAAGTTAATAAATAAACAGCACGTTAATTAAACAAGCAATTTCATAACTAAGTAGCAAGTTAACTAAACAAGCAAGTTACGAACTAAACAAGAAGTTAACCGTTTAGGTTAATAATCAAACACGTTAATAACTTATAAGCCACTAAAAGGGGGTGCAGTCCGACCCACCTAACCAAACGAGTTGGTCTTGTAGAGTCAATAGGTTAATTGGAAGCAGGAAAGATGAAAAATATGCAACCGCCTTCGCCTGGAAGCGAAACACGGACCTATGAAATACCGGCCCAGCGTGCTACCGTTACACCACGAAGGCACGCTAGGGAAGTGGGAGAAATACCTTATAGTCTTATGGTCATAACAGGCCACGTATATTTTTCTTCCCTTCCAGCATGCCTTCGTGGTGTAACGGTTAGCACACTCGGCCTGTATTCGAGAAGTACAGGTTTGAGTCTATGCAAGGGCATTGCTCATTTTTTTATGTTTTCTGCTTCAAAATAAACCTAATAACACTACAAAAATATCAAATGTAGTCACAAAATACACTTCAATAATTTGAAATTAAAGAACGGGTTTAAAGATGGTTTTTAAAACGATATACACTGAAGTGACAAAAGTCATGGGATACCTCCTAATATTTCGTTGGTCCTCCTTTTGCCCGGCGAAGTGCAGCAACTCGACGTGGCATGGACTCAACAAGTCGTTGGAAGTTCCCTGCAAGAATATTGAGCCATGCTGCCTCTATAGATGTCCTAATTGTGAAAGTTGTTGACGGTGCAGGTTTTGGGTACGAACTGACCTCTCGATGATGTCCCCATAAAATGTTCGATGGGTTCATGTCGGGGCGATCTAGGTGCCAGATCATTCGCTGAATTGTCAAAATGTTTCTTCTAACCAATCGCGAACGATTGTGGACCGGTGACATGGCGCATTGTCATCCATAAAAATCCCATCGTTGTTTGAGTACGTGAAGTGCATGAATATCTGTAAGTGATCTCCAAGTAGCTGAAGGTATCCATTTCCAGTCAATGATCGGTTCAGTTGCACAATTGGACCGAGTCCATGCCATGTAAAAACAGCCCAGACCATTATGGAACCACCACCAGCTTGAACAGTGCCTTGTTGACAACTTGGGTCCATGACTTCGTGGGGTCTGCGCCACACTTGAACCCTACCATCAGCTCTTACCAACTGAAATCGTGACTCATCTGACCAAGCCACGGTTTTCCATTCGTTTAGGGACCAACGATACGTTCACGAGCCCACGAGAGTCGCTTCAGGCGATGTCGTGCTGTCAGTAAACGTACTCGAGTCGGTCTTCTGCTGGCATAGCCCAAGAAAGATAAATTTCGCCGCGCTGTCCTATCGGACACCTCCCTCGTACGTCCCACATTGATTTCTGCGGTTATTTGACGCAGTGTTGCTTGTCTGTGAACATTGACAACTCTACGCAGACGTCGCTGGTGTCGGTAGTTAGGTGCAGGTGGTAGGCCACTGCGCTGTCCATGGTGGGATGTTATGCCTGAAATTAGATACTCTCGGCACACTCTTGACACTGTGGATCTCGGAATGTTGAATTCCCTAACGATATCCGAAATGGAATGACCCATGCGTCTAGCTCCAACTAACCATTCCGCGTTCAAAGTTTGTTAATTCTCGTCGTGCGGCCATAATCACGTCAAAGCTTCTTCACATGAATAACTGGAACACAAATGAAAGCCCTGCGAAAGCACTTCGCATTTATACATTATTTACGCGATACTACTGCCATCTGTATATTTGCATATTGCTATCCCATGACTTTTGTCACTTCAGTGTATAACAAGTGACACACTGGGCACCTGAGAATAATAATGAACCAGAATTTAACTGACATACTAATCGAAAAAGATTCGTCATGCCTGCTTTAGGCAGTAGTTGCTTTAGAGCAGACTATGAGTCAGTGACGTCGCATTTTCAAATATTTCTTGTCGGAAAGAGCAAACTTCGTATTATAATAACTTTGGTTGAAACTTTAGCCCTGTGAGATTCATGGTAGCGAAAAGTAAGGAATTTAACTGTAGCTTACTGTTCTTGTGTTTTTCTGTCTGAAACCTAACGACCTATCTTATACTTAGTAACGGGGTAAATTATGGCAAGCAAATTAGCAAACAGCTTAAAGAAAAATTTAGTAATAATAACGAATATTTATTTCTAATATTTTGAGTTTTACAAACTTAAAATAAGTTGCACAACAGCTAGCTTGCTTAACACGAAA